CTAACAAATATGGCGGGGGAAAAGTGAACCCCTGTCCCACTTTGCCGGTTCCACTTTGCCCCGGCCATATTTGATAGGCCTAAATGTATATATCATTATTATCAGATTATTTATTATGATCTGAATTAGTACTCTCAGTAGCAGGTAGGCCTATGTCTGTCTTTGCATCATTTTAACACCTAACTCGGTAACATTGGCATAACTGTGTCTTCCCTAGACTTAATTATCGTATAATTGCGTCCTATAATGGCATTTTTCTTTCATATTTTAGGCAAAATGGTACGCAACTATGAATTTGATGTTCAGAGTTAGACACTGAAAGAGGACGCAACATTTTTGACACAATATACATGGAGTAAAATGACATTCCACCTTGCACCATAACAGGTTTCACTTTGCCCCGGGAGTCTGGGGCAAAATGAAATATTTATAAATTTTATAATTTTGTATATTTCAATAAAGTCGTTTTTTAAATGAACTTTGTTTGTACCGCCTGTTAGTTCTTGTCCTAAGCCAAAGGATTAGAGCCAAACATTTCACTTTGTCTCTCTCTTTCACAGCGTTTTGGCCAACCAAATTTCTTCGGTCCACTTTGCCCCGGGTTCCCCTATGTATGTATGTATGTATGTATGTATGTATGTATGTATGTATGCACGTGTATATATTATATATATATACACAATCACCTTTATCAGTATTTTTATTTATATGAATTTCGCTTCCAGGATTTATTAAAGCTGGAACTATTGTTATAGTTATAACTGTAGTGGTATGAAGGATGAAAAGCTACTGGTATACTACTGCTGGAAAGTTATTTTAGAATGAAATTATTTTGCACGTAATTCTACACGCTAGACACAGCAGCTACGACATGAAAAACATTTGCACATCAGAGACGAGGGATTAGAATTACATGTCTACGTCCGCAAATCATTTCATCAACATAAAAGAATACGCCATCAAACATTGTTTGCGATTTTGAGGTCGAGTATATTCCGAACGGTCGCACAATATAGCAAACGTCATCAATAGATACGTACAATAACAGGTAATATTAGCTCCTGATAATAATATATTACGTATCACGTGACACAGCACAAACTTACACTGCTATCTATAAACAAAACAGATACTCGTACAGTCGCAGCTCGTCTAGAGAGCTCATCATGCTGTGACAGTAACAGCGCGGTCTAAGAGTGACGGTCAGTCATCACTCAACAACATAAATGGCTCTGGGGTCTGGGGGAGCACCCCTGCTCCTAACACGCTGCATGGACACCTCTGCGTCAGCTGCGAGACTTAGGAGAAACGAGGGCAAGTCTGAGGCCACCGAATAAAAGAACACGCTGTTGATCACAAGCTGAGGTCACCAAACGAGAATACCGGCACAACTAGTCTGTACTAGTGCAAGTACACGTAACCCACAAGTGTGGTAATTGGATAGTTGGTTTACGAACCGAGGACAAAAGGACGAGCATTGACGTCTGAGTAACTCGCTAACCTCCTAGAATCGTCCAGCTGTCAGACGAGATGCTTCCATTTTAACTGGATCAGATATCAATATCTCTGCAGTGCACGTTGAACGCGGTGTGCTTGCAGATACGGTTTCATGAATCTTCTGCAGAGATATTACTACCTGAAGAGTCGAGCATCAGATCTGGGCCAATTAACAACCTATATTTACGATATCATCGTTCTTTGTATTGCTTTCATGTCAAGTTAGTTTAAATTGGATATCTTCATTTCGCAATTGGGCAATTACGTACATACTTAGCTGATCTATAAAACACGTGTTTATCTAGTGATAAATTGGTGGTTACACAGAAAAGCACGTAATTCGCACTGGTATGTACGTAGGATTATAATTTTGTGGGAAATCGGCAAGTGCTATTTATAAAAAAACTTTTGAGGTAAAAACGTGTACGTGGTAAACATTTATAAGTGATATTCAAATATATAAATTCAAATTTCATTTCATTATAGATTCTACACGTAATTTGACAGTATACAGACAGAAAAACAAACACCAAAATTCTCAGTCAAACTGCCAATTTATATGTGAATTACGACAAAGTGGAGAAAGGTACGAGCGACTGATCAATCAGCGTTGTATAACGACTATGCAGGTTATAGTCACTGTTATCTAGAGTACATAATAGGAGCATCTCCTATTATGTACTCTTGACTGTTATCCAACTTGGCTATATTCATGCGCTCCTCAATAAACATACATGTAAGATACAGAACAGATATGTTGCCCAGAACTTGCACAGGTGGCTTTGTATTTACTTGGCTTCAAAATGTGATGAAAACCAGTTGGTTTCTAAGGACAATACACATTTACCCAGCCACTTATAGCAGTCACTGCAATCACCTATTGTGTCCTAAATATTTATGGTTCCCTGTGGGTTTCTCACGTTCTGCTGTAAATAAAACAACCTAGACCTTAGACACGTTTGCTACTCCTGTGCTGGTGCTGCCACTTGAGGAGCAAGTCGAGTGATCACGCCAATGAGCTTGTAGGCGAGCGTTCTTATAAGCTGAGGGCAAGCCGGCTTGTTAACAATCACCTCTATCGACACACGAAATTCGTAGAACATTTGCCTGCAAACATAAAATGCACAGCCTCACTAGAATGCAGATTCAGAATCTTCAAGCAAATCCTATGTCTTAAAAAATAACCTTTGCTTTATGAAATCAAAGGTACGCACAGTAACTAGCAGGAAAGGGAATAAATTCGAGATAAAAATTGTAGCGATGATACTCTTAATGCTAACAGATTAACAATCTCAATATATCAGACCTTGAATATGGATTCCTCTGTGAAGCATATCTCAGGCTGAGGAATCGGTAATAGACAAATGGTAGGATTATACTGGTACGTCCCCTGGAAACAACAACATGGTAAAGTTGTACACACAATGTCACATGCAGACACTCTACTAACAGAAGACTAGCACGAGTGTAACACACACTTTTACCAATACACACCACGCAAGCACGCCTGCAAACGCACGCACACACTCGCTCTCTTTCTCTTTCAATTTATATCTCTCTATCATTCTGTCTTTAACACACGCAAAGACAAACTTGCTCTCCATCTATCTTTTAACTGTTGATCTCTCACACACACACACACACAAGCATGGACGTGTGTGCATGAGCACTTACACACACACACATGCACACACGCGCATACAGACTACAGCTACGTGAATACACATCGTTTTTAGTATGGGAGGCTTACGTGAACATTAGGAAGATGATGGCCAGCATGACGAATATCTCGGAGCACGCCACGATGCGCAGGATGTTGCGCTGGTTATTTGCATCGACGAGGGTCGTCAGCTTACGCGTCACCCATGCCTCACCGCTACCCATCAACTGCGAGTTAAAGCAGACTGCAGGTTTACATGTGTTCCTCATTCTCCAGGCACCTCTAGAGATTCAACTCATAAAACCTTGGCTTATGAATAATCGAACCTTCCCAGGATAATGTTGCCAGGTTGCTCCAGTTTGACCTCACGCATACTAAATTAACAATTTTTTGCTTAGTAATTGTCCAAATAAGCTTGTCGTTAATTTATGGAGACAATGTCCTATATGAACTTCGTCTTTGTGGTAATTGCTGGGAGCCTGAATCTGGCTCAGACTTGCTTTAGCCAAGGAGAACTCCTTGCACCGCAAACGAACGTGCACCCTGCTGCAGCAGGTGACATGATCTCAGGAAAGTTACACCACTTACCGTCAATAGCTGGAGAGAAAATCTCGTGGAGTGCAAGATAGCAAACAGAAGAACTGGTGTTAATACCACTGTAAACACTTGTTAAGCAAAAACGTAATCGACATATGGAAACAGAGCCATATTATACGAATTTACCAAGTTCATGATCAAATTCCGATGAATAACATGGAGAGTTATTGCACTGCATGCAGCATTTGGTTACAATTTTGATAAAGAAACACTTTGAACAAGGACGACATTTTAAACCTGTTTACTTGGATCATATTGAAACACTCCTTTATTATCTGAGGGACAGGAGCACGCCTTCTTTCTAGTCCTAGTGGCATCTATCAAAGAAACCCGATTTTTAAATGTTGCACACGGAAACTACCTCCCCAAAAAAGGATACTTGTAATCGGATAGCTGGTCATGAAAATGATTGAGTAGAAGAGATAGTGGCAGCTGTCTTCGATGAACAGCCGAGCGAAAAATTCGCGGCTGAATTGGAATGCAGGCAGATGCTGGTGAAGCCGCAGTGCACTCGTGGCAGCATTGCTGATCAGTGCTTTCTGGTAGTGACTGGCTTGAACACTGAAGCAAGCAGCATCATCGATATATATATCATCAGTAAAGGCACACTCCAAAGCCGCATTACAAACTCACTTAAAACTCACAAACTTAAGCACTTTATCTATATTATAAGAGAGGAGAGGCCGATTTTCTGATGTGGTAATCTTCGCCGCGGTGAACGTCAAGCCCACGCCACCGACTTCAGTGTATAGCCCGTGTGTCGGACACCAACATAGGCTTATCCATATTTGTCAAATCCACTCATATTTATAGATATAGAAACGATAAATAGGCCTTACTACAGCCAATAATTCTAGCAGTGGGCTGATGTCAGAAAAGGATAACAGCCGATTTTCATGCGAATGTAGCCATCTAGTGGACAAAAGCCAAAACATTGTTAATACCAGGTTAAACTATGCCAAATTTATACTCTTTTTTTTATCATGCACTCAGTTGTCAGTTGAGTCTCAAAAGCAGCACAACACCCACTTTTACTGGTTCATTTTCGTTCATTGTATTTTTTAAATTGTAATTTGTCTGTGTATACATTCGGATATAATGTATAACATGGTATAAAGAATTAAGTTTGTTAAAATCAGCTGCTATTGATCTTTTTGATAATGTCATCTATGGTGACTTCACTGGTGCAGATCTCTGCCAAACTGACCAACTAATTTGGTTAACATGAGGTGATATCCATACATTTGGAGAAATATTTACTTTTTTAAATCTGCTCATTATTTTACGATGAAAGTGACCCTGAACTAATACCGTGCTATATTGACTGGTTTAGTTTATTGACCTATGCATTTAGTTTAGTTTAGTTTTCATGTATTATTTTGATGTAAAGTGAATCCCAATGATAAGAGAGACACGTGACAGATGTCATCAATTGTGTATTTAAAAGGTGAGACGAGGTGTGCAAAGCCAGAGAGGCATATTCATAATAACTTGGCACAATTTCATAACAATGTTATCCAGAAGCTTTGACTACACAGAATCATAGAATCGTTCAAACTGTTTTTGTCAGAATATTGTGTATTGTTTGTTTCTCTGTTACAAATCTATCCAAAAAATTAAGTAAAAAAAGTTATATAAAGATAAAGCGAGCGGTGAAAAACGTAAGAGACGTAAAGAGAAATGGTTGTATCGCTGCTCCCACTAGACTAAACTTTACCTCCACATGCCATAACATTTATCAGAACATTTAAGGTTAACTTACCCATACAATGGAAACACAAAGCCAACACAGAAAACGACTGTGCTTAGTCTAGTCAGCCATAGAACAGTGTCAATCATATTCGCAGACAACTTCTCCTACAAACAAACAACATAGTGGTTACAAGCCTGCAACACAGGCATGTCAGTCTTCTAATTCAGCCATAAGATGAATGTGATGAACAAGGCAGCGTTTGAGTCGAGTCTATCTGAACAAGAAATTTTCATGTACAAACTGCTTGCATTGAACACTACCTTGATTAGATACATTAAAGGATATAGGGGGAATGTTACTCTAATTTAGTGAAAACTCTTGCAGTATTAGGTATAGTATCGTTTACTGGATACATGCACAATATGTTGACGCCATTTTAGGCGATTGTCACAAAAAAAAAACAATTTTACAACAAGGAAATTACAAACATTGATGAATGGATGGCTTGGCATAAATAGGTTTTTGTTATAAACTTTGTTTAAAACATTAGTGAGATCATTTATAGATTTAAAACAGCCAGGGACCATCAAGCAATTACTTACTTTAACTGCTGCCCATCGGCCTTGGTTTTGTTGGGTCTGCTCACCAGTGCCAGTGGTAGAATTATCACCCGCATCACTCATGACTTCCGTGGGGTTTGTAGACAAAATTACAAACTATACTGGGTGTTACTGCAACAGATAAATGAAACATAAAACTGCTGCACATGACTAACAATAAAATTATTTGACTATAATTATTATTATAATTCAGGGTGCGAAATTAATGGGAGTCCGGAGTCAAATACTCCCTGATTTACTGTCGGACTCCCTGATTTGACATATGCAGGAGTCTGTGTGACTCCCTGAAAATTCTGCCATACAAACTAGTTCGTTCCGGAGCACGG